GTAAGTAATGTTTTGTTTATTTACTAATTTATTACAATTCAATAGACTATTTTATACCAATTTGTGGGTCTTACTTTGTCTGCTTAAACAGTTTATTCATATTAAAAAAACCACAGACATGTAATATTGGCATAATTACTGTAATTTATATTATTTTATCTTTATGTTTATCTTTATAAGACAGCACCCTAATATGGGTTTTATTATTTCAGCATTTAATTAACTTTGTATCGACTGACCTGAAGATGCTTTGCAAATTGTAGAAAGCGAAACCGGTCGTCTAGATAGTTAAATTAAACTGATTGTGAGTAAGTCTTATTTATTTCTTTTTTACCTATTTGATCTAAATGATTTTGTTCTTTTTGCGATGCTATATTAGGGTCGATATCCACTGCCAAGATTCCCGTGGCATCGGCAAATGTAGCTAAGAAGGTATCATTGCTGATTGGAACGTCTGCTGTAAATATCAGATACAGAAATGGGCCCAAAACGCTACCCTGAGGTACGCCAGATTGTATGATGTGGTAATTTGAGTAGCTGTCTTCAATTTTGACTTGGAAGTAACGGTCAGTAAGATATGATTTTAGTATAAAGTATAGTTGGTCTGTTAGGTGTAATTTCAGTTTGTAGAGGAGACCTTCATGCCATACTCTATCAAATGCCTGTTGTATATCTAGAAACACTCCAGCGCAAAACTTTTTCTCTTCGAGAGTTGTTTTAATTATATTTACTATTCTGTGGCATTGTTGGATGTTGAGTGTTCACGTCTAAATCCGAATTGGTGTTGTATTTCGTTATGGAACAACTTGCTCGATTTTATGTAATAGTAGCCTTTCTAATACTTTCGACATTATTGGGAGTAGGCTTATAGGGCGATATGAATTTGCTTGCGTTGCGGGCTTACCAGGTTTCGGAATCATAGTAACTTGAGCAAATTTCCATTGTATTGGAAAGTATCGAAGACGTAGTATGCTGTTGTATTATTGTTAATAACACCACTGCTTTTCTCGGTAGCTTCTGAAGTAATTCTCCTGTTATCAAATCATAGCCAGGAGCTTTCTTAGGATTTAGCATTTTTATTTGTTGTCGAACCTCTGTCGAAGTAAATGTTGTCAGAGGAAGAGATAGTTGACATGGAGTTTCGAGGTACATTCTTATATCATCATCTTCATCGTTATTAGTATCTGGTGCTGCGAATACAGTTGCAAGATGCTCTGCGAATACTGTTGTTTTTTCTGCGTTTGTGCGGGCCCAGGTCATATCTGTTTTTCTTAAAGGTGAGTTTGTTATTGTTGGTCGCTTAAATTTTTTGTAGCTTTCCATATAGAGTGGTCTTCACGTGGGAGGTTCGAATGAAGTCTTCATGTGATGAATGGAAAAGGAAAAATGGCAACAAAATCATGTATTACTAACTATACAGGTGCAGTTGGTATCTACTATATAAATACGTTTTTGAATCGTTACTAATTACGCTAGTATCTAATAGAGGGCGCTAGAAAGGTTTGGCGCGATGCTACGAACGAAGGTCAGATACTTTTAGGACAAACATCCGTGTTATAAACAATTTATTTATTCATTCTCGGTGATTGCTCAGATTCTGGCATTTATACTACTCCATTTTCTTGTAAATGTTCTCTCTCTCTCCAATGGCGCTACAGCCCAAATGGAGCTTTGGCCTCCTCCATCCTTGCCGGTTCCGCGTTGATCTTCTTCAGTTTCGCACGTCTATCAAATTTTGCGCGTCTGCTGCCACATTATCACTACACATGGATCTCCATACTCGTTTTCGTTAATAGATTCAAATATCTTTCATAGGACTTTTCTTTCGTAAAGTTTATAAATGTTCCATTATATGTTTATTGTATCTGCGTCACTGTCTTAATTATTTTCTGGAGGCTTCACAATTATAGTAACCAACGCGTTTTAAATGATAAAGGTAAAAAAACTGATAATAAAAATAACTATTACCATTGATTATAAATTACTACCTAGATAGCTCACCTCGTGGTAACCGAAAGACGTATCAAAAACTAGATGGCGTTACTCGAAAACCGTATCGAGATTCTCATTCTCTCTCTGACTTGCGAGGAGATAGGAGTGGTGTCAGGGCCGAACTTACCCTATAAGTGTATTATCTGTGTGAAGTGTTGTGACAAGTTATAGCGAAATTTTATAAAAAAAGGACTCACATTTTAGATAAAATGGCCTGTGTAACGCATTAATGTGTTTACGCGGGATGTTTTGAAAGAAACGATGGAACAAATAACAATATATCTTTCTTTAAATTTCCCCTGAAAGACGTAGAGCGAACAAAAAATTTGGCAAAAAACTGCGGGAATATTGATATTATATTGATGGATATCAGTGACCTAAAATAGAGGGTAATTTGCCAGCATCATTTTGCAGTGAAACATTTTTATAGCACTTTTATATAAATATGTACGTTTCCTCAGAAAATTCTTCTCGACTTTTAAGAATAAAATGTTTCGATATTGTCAATAATGAAAGTACTTCTTGAGAACAAGAAATAATAATTTTTTTTTTCCTAAAATTTTAACTTTACAATCTTAGTTTGAAAAGAATTTACATTCAAATATACTTATTTACTTTGTTTTAAAATATGACCTAATTAGTGATGTTTTAAACTTTATAATCCTGTCCGTTTCCTTTTACCTATTGTTCCTAGGCAGATGGCCCTCATTAATTTATGTATTGGAAATTCCCTGTCATTTTATCAAGATATGTACTTACTTTATTCATTTTTAACCTTAGTAATTTGGTATTTTGTTAAAGTCAAAATCGATTGCATTTGGTACTCACCACTACTTGCTTTTAAAACCTCGATGACGTAAATATTCCAGCTTTCTTGTGTTGATGTTCTTTATCACCTTGCAATCCTTTTGTAACATTGTAACCTTAACACTTTTGCATTTGTAACTCGTTAGATTCAGGTATTTTCAAAATTCCTCTATAGCACCACATCTCAAATGCTTCCAACTTCTGTATATTGTCTACTTTTAGTGTATAGCTTTCCATTCCATGTATCAAAGTCGAGAACACGTAGCATCTTAATGCGCTTATCCTCAGCTCCAGAGGAAGATCTCGATTTTGTTCTGAAGCTATTTTCTTGTGGCATTATTGCAATTAACTAGTTTTGATGGAAATAAGCCACAATTTTACTAAAAAATGATTTTATTAACGTTTCGACGCCCAAATCGGGTGTCGTTGTCAAAATACAAAAATTATTAATGAATTAAACAAAAATGATGTTGCTTAGTAAAAAAAATTCTTATAATAATTTATTTAATCTGACTCATTTATATCGGCAATTCAGACATATATTATACATTTTAAAGTAGATAATGAAATATTGGCAATGATATTGCCAATATTTATAAGTTGCGTTCCTGGGACGACTTTGTTGAAAGATAGTTAATTCGATTACATGAAATCTACCCCAACTCAAGAATATCCGTCACAAAAAAATCATAACATGTAATATGTCTTTAAATAGACAACCACATGCAATGGTGACAGTAAAATTCTCGCGCTAGAATATAAATATAGTCCCAGGAACGCAACTCATAAATATTGGCAATATCATTTTAAAGTCTTCTACTTTAAAATGTATAATATATGTCTGAATTGCCAATATAAATGAGTCAGATTAAATAAATTATTAGAAGAATTTTTTTACTAAGCAACAACATTTTTGTTTAATTCATTAATAATTTTTGTATTTTGACAACGACACCCGATTTGGGCGTCGAAACGTTAATAAAATCATTTTTTAGTAAAATTGTGGCTTATTTCCCATCAAAACTAGTTAAGATCTCGATTAACAAACATTTTTTTTCATTTTTATAAATGCTTGTCTTGCAATTTCAATGCGTGTCCTGATTTCTCTAATAAATACCTTGGTCATTGTTTTTATTGTATTATTATAATGATCTGTAAGTTTCATTTGTTCAAAGGGCTTATTTTTTAACAATTTTTTTTAATTTTGAAAAAAATGCTTTTTTTTCAAAATAACTTAAAATTTATTAGTGACACCAAAAATCACAAAGAGTAAAAAAATGTAGGTTTTGCTTTTCTGAATATTTTGGTCATAACTTGCTTACTCTTGATGCAAGAAACTTAACAAAATAAACCTTTTTAAAACACTTTAAAAAAGTTGTAATGAGTTTTCGTCGAAAAGTGCTTCATTTTTTATTATTTCACGTTGAAATATTCAACATGGAATTTGACGAATAAGAACCTATTTTTCAATAACTCGAAAAGTATTGACATAGTGAAAAACCTCTAATAAACCAAAGTTGCTTATAATTACTGATTTTAGGCACTTTGATTAGCTTAAAAGATTAGCGAAACAATTAGCTTGAAATATTTTAGTTTGCATCAATTCTGAAATTAATTTGTTTGAAAAGTTACAAAAAAGTAATTTACATGAGATGTAATTTATCACTGCTAATTTTATTATGTATTTTATATTTTGTTATTTTTTTTGTATTGTGTTGATAAATAAATAATTTTTAGAAAACCTTTACTGTTTTCATTAATCAATTTTTAGCGTTTTTTCTGAAGTAAAATCTTAATTTCATAATATAGATTACAAGCACGTTAAAATTATTTGTGAAAATGCTGAATGCCATCCTTATATCGTCCTCTATTGCACTAGAGAATTGCCGGACAGGAACTCAAATTTATTTTTCAATCTTGGCAAAGATTTCAATGAATGTCGCCACCATACAGTCAGGTAGTACTTAGGCGTGAGGGGCAAAGAGGTGTAAGTGGGCGGAGTTTAACACTGAATTCGTTTTTACCTTAGAGTGAGGTATCTAGGTAGTGGTTTATAATCAATACTATTACATATTGTTGTATAACAATCCACAGAAAGTCACTTCAGTACGCAAAAATAAAAATTACCACATATTATCTAGACATACTATACATGTTGTGTTACGTTTCATGTTCTGTTATAACCTGCATGCATTTAACAGGGCAGTTCTGAAGAATTCGAAATGAACGAAGTAATTCAGAGTTACGAAAGAAGACTGCAAGAACAAGTTATTCTTGCCAAGAATGATATTGTTGCTGGACTGGAAGCACAGATACAGGTACAACGGTTTCACCACATTTGTGTTGCATCAAATTTACATAAAGCTTTGCCAAATGAAATCTATATCGAATAATGATTTTAGCGTCTGGCTGCCAATGAACCCGAAAGTGACGAATGGCCATCGGAACTTCTACGCATCAGAGATAAATTTACAGAAAAACACGAGGCGGAGAAGGTTGTTTTGAATGAAGAACACCGATTAGAGGTAGAGAAGTTGAAGGACGAACATCAGAAGATATTGGATGGAGTTTTAGATGGAGCCAAGCGACGTAGGTTGAGGGACGAGGAGAGTTTGAACAAGGACGAAATGGAAATTTTGAAAGAAAGGTAAGAAACCATTCACTACTTTGCTGTTGTTTAATCGACCAATATTAATATATCTCTTCATCTATCTGACAGAGACATCTTGAAGCAACGAGTGGCTTCTATGCACAACCTTTTCGGGGAACTCTTGAAATATTTTACACAATGCGAGGATGAATTGAACAATACACTCGTCGAAGAACTATTGAAACAAGGATTCGACAAGAATATGTCTCAAATCGAAGACGAGCTGAATTTGACCCGGTCGAGCCCTACGAGCTCCAGTAAAACCAGCGACAGTACTTTCAATATCACAAGAGTCCATCTTACGCCCAACTTTACTGATTTGATCAATATTATTGAGAGTAGTTCACCCGAAGAAGCAGATTCGAAGGACGTTTCTATTGGTGAGTTAATATTTTGTTTTTATATAATATTGAATGAATTCATATTAATGTTTTTCTGGAGCTAGTGTCGTTTAAATCATAAAAGTTTTTATATGCATTTATATTTTCATTTGTTGCTTTAATGGTTAGTTTAAAAAATTATTTTTACTGTTTTTATTCTTCTTCTTCTTCTTTTTATATAGACATGACTTTTTTCAATGTGACTCCAGTAAGTTGTCATTCCATCGTTTTCGTGGTCTTCCTACTGATCGTCTTCCTATTGGGGAACCGTCTCTTGCCGTCTTTACTATTCTATTTGTTGTCATTCGGCTTATATGATCGTTCCATTCTACTCTTCTATTTCTTACCCAGTTTTTGATGTTCTCCACCTTGCATCTATGTCGTATATCTGTACTTCTAGCTCTGTCCCATAGTGTCTTACCATCAATTTTTGTTTTCATCTCTGCTGTTTCTAACATCCTTTTTGTCCTCTCTGTGTCAAGTCTTGTTTCTGCCGCGTATGTCATTATTGGTCTGATGACTGTTTTGTAAATTCTGCCTTTCGTTTATTTTTCCATATTGTTTCATTTCCTCTGAGAAAAGAGGACATAGAACCAATTCCATCCATACACTGAGAAACATTCAAGGCTTAGCTATCACGGTAAGAGTACTGAAGAAGGAGTATTTAGTACCTTCAACATCTCGAAGACGCCAAAGAAGATCTATATCACAGCGACATGCCGCAAAAATACCTCTTGAAGAAACCAAGGCTTAATAAGCTAAATCACGCGCTGGGTACGGACGAGATAACAGCAGAACTTCTGAAATATGGGGGAAATGCACTACATCGCCAAATCCACTAGATAATAACGCACATATGGTTAGAAGAAAGGATACCAGCACGATGGAAGAAAAACATAATAGTGCCCATCCACAAAAATGGAGACAAAACAAAATGCGCGAATTATAGAGGAATTTCACTCCTAATCACGGCATATAAAACCCTCTCAAACATCATTCTTAGTAGACTAATCCCTTATGCTAAAAATGTCCTAGACAAATATCAAGCCGGTTTTAGGGCAAAAAGATCAACAATAGATCAACTATTCACGCGGAGACAACTTCTAGAAAAGGGATGGAAGTATAACAGACCCATACACAATCTTTTGCAGGCATATGATAGCGTAGAAAGAAGCTCGGACTTCTCAATACCAAAGAAACTCATTTGTATGACCAAGTCTGTATGGAGGGGGTACCATAGAATATCTAAAGTATGTGTAAATAATAAACTATCTGCCACCTTTGAAATCAGCAGTGAACTCAAACAGGATGATGCGTTATCACCACTACTTTTTAACATTGTATTAGAGAAAGCCATGAGATCGACCGAAATAAAAACAGAATTGCTATCGGTTCAAGGTCCCAAGCTGTTACGAGCATATGCATATGACATAGATTTCGTTGGAGACTTTATCCTACCCACGAAAGACATTTTCAACAAGATGGAAGGAGCAACAGGTCAAGTAGGGCTGAAGATTAATGAAGAGAAGATGAAATATATGTGTATAAATAGAACGACACGAAGAGACAGAATAGGACAAAATGTGACGGTCAACACCTTCAATTTCGAAAGAGTACAACGCTTTAAGTATCTGGAGGCTGTAATTACAGCTGACAACGATGTTACTGAAGAAATAAAAGACAGAATCCAATCTGCAAACCGCCGTTTATTCGCACTGGATAAGCTCATAAAATCAAAAAATCTCACAAGAAGTTCAAAGATCAAAATCTATAAATCCATCGTCAGACCTGTAATAACATATGGATGCGAAACGTGGACCATGACCAAAGCAAATGAAGAAAAGCTCAGACGCTTTGAACGAAAAATAGTTTTCGTTTTACTTTAAAATTTTCGGACCTCACCATGACATCACCACAAACCAGTATAAAATCAGCATCTACAATGACGCCGATATTGTCCAAGAAATTAAATCACAGCGACTAAAATGGGCAGGCCACGTGCACAGACTGCATAACGAGAGACCTGTAAAACTGTAAAAAAGTTGTACAGTCAGCCGAGACCCACCCAGGGTTGTAGCGCTACGTGATGATGATATTGTTTCATTTAGGCAGCCAGCGGCTTCGTTTGATCTATTCACTTGATCTTCCACTTCGGTTTCCTGGCCTAGATATCCCTATGCCTAGATATTTAAACTCCATCACTTGTTTTTATGTAGTATAAATAACTTTTTCAATTTTATTCTATGTGTATGGGTTGATCACTTGAAGTACAATCAACCAGCACTAAAAATTTCATAATATATACTAGGAACTAAGCGAGTAAGTTTAATTTTGCAGTTAAATATTACATGTGTTGTAAGATATAAAAAATATGTTTCTCTTTAGATGTGAAGAATGAGTTAACCGTTTGTCTAGAAAAATTAAAACAGGAAGCTCAGTCCATCCTCAGTCTAACTACAAAACAACCAGTCGGTGCCATTTTGGACTCTAAGAATACTACTAATTTGGAAGAACAAATAAACTTGCTAACAAGGAAGCTAACAACCGAAACACAACTTAAAGAAGATCTAAAATCCGAGTTGGAAGAAAATCAGGTAAGTTTTTGGATCTCTAGAATCCATATAGTAGTCTTCATCAGGACATCTTGAGCCTTAGTCTCCTATTTTCCCCTGATTTTACATGCACACGCTTCACTTTATGCTTTATTACCGATTCTATGGGAAGATGGGCTTCGACGGTGACATCTCTCGCAAACGTAGTGTTTCGATGGGGTGTTGTAAAGATTCCTCACGCCGTGAACTGAGTTGATGGACGCAATAGATGGTATTCAATCAATCAATCAATCAATATTCTTTATTTCATCTGACTTTTACAAGTATTGAAATGCGTCAAAATACAATCTAAAAAACTATACGTACATAGGTAGTAAAAAAAGTTAAAACTATAAGCACATAAAAATATGTGTTCTCTTAAATACATAAATATTTGACTCTTTAACATAATTAGGTAATTTATTATTCAAACTAACGCATGTTGGGTAAGAACCCTTAGCCACAATAGTCAAGTGACCAAATCATTTCTGTAACGAAAATTGTAGCCACTCATTAAGGAAACATCATTTCTGCAAATAAAATTACATCTATGTGACTTTACATAAACAACACAACTGAAAATATACAGAGAAATTACAGTTAAAATATTTAATTGTTTAAAAACTGGTCTACAGGAATCCAAGCGCCTTCTAAACGTCATGGTACGAATAATTTTTTTTTAAGAACAAGCACCTCATTAATTCGCGAGCAATTTCCCCGACAAACTAAGCAATATTGCAAAATTGACTCTACATGAGCAAAATAGTAAAGTTTCAAGATATCTAGGGAGACAAAATTCCTAAGTTGCCTTAGAACATAACAGTGTACAGACAATTTTCCCACTACAGAATCAACGTGAGAACTCCAAGACAAATTAGAATCCAGGTAAACACCTAATAACTTAGTGGAGTGGCTATTTACCACAGACCCATTGTCAAGCTTTACTAATGGACTCATCTGCATAGTAGAAGGTGAAAAGGTTACCATATTGGTCTTTGATCCATTTAAGATTAGGGCATTATTTAAACAGTAATGAGTCATACTTTTTACAAGACAGTTTGGTTTTTGTACTACATGAAAAAAATTATTGGAATTTAGTGCAACTGTGGTATGCAAACAGCCTGATTTCTGTTCCAACTTTTCTCCTCGAACGCTTATTGCATCAGAAAAATTATCTAATGGCTTCTGAACCAAACATGTTGAGCTATCGTTTATCAGTTGATTTAAATCATTGACGAGAATCAAAAATAAAAGAGGTCCAATGATACTTCCCTGTGGAACTCCGGAGAGGACACTTTCTTCTGATTAAGAACAGAAGTTATTAAGAACAGAAGAAGGTTTCTATTTGGAGGTAACCGAGTGATATTGCCTCTTTTATTGAGACGATCGGGGCGATCTTTCATTTCAATGGCTTCTCCGATAACATTGATAAATTTTTTAAATGTTTCATTAACTTTAGGACTCAAATGTTTCTAATTTTGTAAATTATTTTATTAGATGTATTTTTTATGATATACAGTAGATATAAACCTGTTATTTTTAAACATTGAGTGATAAAACATTAATATTTTGTTATATGATAGACTACTAAGAGTCCATTTGAATTGCGTTTGATGAAAACTAGGCTAATCTGACGTAGAGAAGAAGGCTCCCCTTGTGAACCCGAGAAAATAATGTTAATACAGAGTTTTCACAACAGAGGTGAGATTACGTCTCAGTAATTAAAATGTTTTTATCACATATATAACAGAAATCCTTCACTAAACTGACACACTTCCGGGGGATGTTATTTCACACAAGCAAAGCGTTCTGAATCAAGAAATGTTACTGTTACAGCATAAACTATAGAAAAACTCACAAACTTTGCGCTATTTAAATATAAACAACATGAAAATCATGAATATTAAATCAGCTATGATGATTATTAAACTACTAACGCCTGAAAGCGTTTTGTTGTGTCATTGGGCAGGTGTTCTAACTTGGAAAAACTAAATTCTTCCAAACATGTGTTGTTAGGAATCAATTTGTAACTTTTTTTTAACAAACAAAAATATATTAATCTTTGGATTTTATAAACCACTTGCGTGTAATAGTGAAGTGATCTGTATACTCAGGATATTAGGAGCTCAGAATAGATAATTGTAAGCTTATGCAATCATAGTTTGATTTTGCTACGTTCATTTTTAGAAATACACCGAAACGTTGGAAAAAGAAAGAGAGCGATTGAAAATGGAACTGGAAAACGTCATAGCCAAGGAAAACATACTAGAAGAAGACCTTACCGCTGCCAAAAATAAGATCGGACAACTGTTAGAGAGCGGTCGAAAAGAAATCGTTTCGGAGGGTTACGGAGAAGCTGGAGTACATTCCCAAAGTTTAGGTAAGATTTTTTTCTGCTATTAACTATGTTGAATATTTTTTCTAAGCATGTATTATTGTAGTCAATGTAATCTCCAGATTACAGTCTTGTGAAAGCGTGTTTTTCAACAAGTAATTGTATTATACGACGTAGAAATACCTCAATATCATGGATCCATAGCCTCCTTAATTATACTCTTTGTTAAACTACACAAACTTGATAGACCTTAAACTACAGGTCTTCCAATAAGACCTATAGTTTTTTTTTATACAGCTTCGTTCTATAAATATTTCAAAAAAAACTGTTAGAGATTATTTTAGAACACACTCAATTTTCACCAAAACTTACCGTAAAAAATACAATAGAACTATGGAAATCTTTTTTGTTTCGGTTAAGACAACTATATCTATATCTAGTTTTTTAATTTCTTCAGTTATTTCTTCCATCTTTCCGCTGATACTCCGCACATTCCAGGTGCCAATGTTCATAATCCTTTTCCGTCGCCGAAGTCGTTTATTATTTAATCCGTCCAAGATTCCGAGGCAATCTTTAGGCTTTTTGGTATTTTTCTAATTTTTACAAGTGACAGGGAACCGGCCTGACGTCTTAACACCCTACCTGGAATTATAATAAAGGTTTTCTTGCTCTAGGCTAGTTGTCTTCCAGGACTATAGAGACTAGTATTCCCTTAACTCGGTTCATCCGCTTTCGGGACCATTGGATTTCCCTCGTCCACTCCGAGCAAATTCCGTTTACTCCGTCCACTGTTGACCTTCGCCTGTAATCCTATAGTCTAGATGGGATCTGTTTTGGATCGGACATTTTCCATAGGAAGCTATTTTTTTTTGCTAAATTGACTTACAAGCTCCATATTCCGCCTAGAAAAACTTTTTAATATGTTTAAAACGTGTGCTAAATTTTGTTAAGATCGGTCGGATAGGTTTTGCATAATAATTGTGCAATCCAGCCTACTGGAAAAAAATCGCAATTTTCAAATTTATAGTAGGCCCTAAATAAGGCCCCAGATAGTTGCAATTTTTTTTACGTATAAAGGAAGGCTCAAACTTTCAAACGCTTTTTGTAAAATTCAAATCGGTTCACTAGGAGAGCCTAGAAATTTTTTAAAGTTTTAAACATTTTTTAGGCTTATAAAGAAATTGAATAACTTTACGAGCTTTAAACATATTATTTTCGAATCAAAATATATTCTCAAATCAAATAATGTCATTATTATGATAAAACTGCAGAAATTAATTATTTTAAAAAGTTTGATTTTTACAAAAAAAAAATCGTTTCTTTTGTTTTAACAATTCAAATTATTTATTAACAATTTATAAATACATATTTGTTTACTAAAAGTAACAATATATAATAACAGTAATAATTTGAATTGTTAAAACAAAGGTGAACGAATTTTTTTTTGTAAAATCAAACTTTTAAATAATTAATTTCTGCAGTTTTATCATAATAATGACATTATTTGATTTAGAATATATTTTGATTCGAAAATGATATGTTAAAGCTCGTAAAGTTATTCAATTTGTTTATAAGCCTAAAAAATGTTTAAAACTAAAAAAAATTTCTAGGCTCTCCTAGTGAACCGATTTGAATTTTACAAAAAGCTTTGGAAGTTTGAGCCTTCCTTTATACGTAAAAAAATTGCAACTATCTTAGGGCCTACTGTAAATTTGAAAATTTGCGATTGTTTTTCCAGTAGGCTGGATTGCAAAATTATTATGCAAAACCTATCCGACCGATCTTAAAAAAATTTAGCACACGTTTTAAACATATTAAAAAGTTTTTCTAGGCGGAATATGGAGCTTGTAAGTCAAGTTTAAAAAGTCGAAAACATTTAAAGGATTAACTTAATTTTTTGTACTTTTTTTTCCAATTATTGCTATTTTTTCAACAATAAACATTAAATTTTCAATTTCTAGCTAACGACATATTGTGTAAAATTGAATAACGAAACTTTTAACTTCTTATAATTTTTTCTCTAGGATCAATATTTTCCGAATTATAAACGAAAATAGGAGCAAAAAAATGAGAAATTTTCAATTGTTTTCAGATTTTGTTAAATAAAAAATTTACCACAGGGTTTGCGACTGGCGCATATCGTGATTATCGATATTGGGCCCATCCTGAAGGGATTCCAGCAAAAAAATAGCTTCCTATGAAAAATGTCCATTATGGTCCGAATTTTTACAGATCCCGCCTAGTCAGATGAACCCTGGTTTTTTTACGAGGTTGTTACTCCTCCCCCATCCTGCTTTATCCGGGCTTGGGACCGGCAACATAAGAGCTGAACTACTCAAGTAGTAACAATTGTAGTAACAATTATTTCTAAATAGGAAATTATTTAAAATTCCCTATTCCCTAAAAATCCTTTCTCCCTATATGGGAGAGGGTCGTGCATACTTTACAGTAGCATCTCAAATTACAGTGAAAATGATACAAAAAAGGTAAAGGAACATGGAAACACACATCAAAGGCTCTACATTGCGATATATTTATTGAATTTCTAGTTCACTCCCTTCACTACCTTCACAATATACAAATTTACAAACATCAGTGCAATATATGCCTTCAATATTATCCTGATTATAATTAGGTGTTTTAGGATGATAACTTATGTTAGAATTAAACAATTTTTGGGTAATATCAGCTAAATACTCACATTTCCACGTATTGAACGATAAACCTATGTAAGAAAGTTTCTTACAATTCTTTAAAAGTCCGCCAAAATCTACATATTTCATATTGTTATGATCTAACAACAATTTCTTTAAATTTCTCAAAGACATGAACATATTTTTAACGTTCAAACTTGAGATCAAGTTAAAAGATAAATCCAAAATTTCTAGGTTTGCTAAATTCGAAAATATACCTATCTCAAACGAATTGCGAGGTTTAACCGATCCCATATTGTTCCTGCTCAGGTCTAATACTTTTAAATTAACCAGTTGCTGAAAGACCCCGACGTCCATAATGCTTAATTGAGTTTGTGCCAAATTTAAGTCTAAAAGATTTTCGAGTCCATCGAAGAGACCTCTCTCCAATCTGCCAATTACGTTGCTTCGTAAATTCAGCCTCTCGAGGTTGACTAAATTGTTGAAGATGTTCACCGGAAAATTGTGTATCCGATTGTTTTCTAAATTGAGCACTTTTAGAGTGCCTAAACTTCGAAAAGCATTCGATTCTATGGTAGTTATTTGATTTCGGCTTATGTCTAAAGTTTCTAGATGCCGAAGTCCTGAAAAAGTATCATTTTTTAAACGATGAAGTTGGTTTTTGCTTAGATTTAGATACTCAAGAGCTTTCAGTCCTTTAAAACAAAACGCTTCCAGTTGTTCAAAACCTATTTTGGACAAGTTCAAGAGTTTCATAGAGTTTAAATCACTGAAAGTATTTTCTTTCAAAATTTTACTGTTTTTAAACAAATTCTGAGCCTCTAGAAGTTCTAAATTGAAAAGGTCGTTTAGAGCACCAGTCTCAATTGTTTCAACAGACGAACCAGGCAAACGGAGCTCAGTTAAGCTAAATAAACCTCTAAAACAGTTATTTTTTAATGTGTTAATGTTAGAATCTTTTAGTGTTAGTGTTTTTATGTAAACGTTCGAAATACTATTGGCTTCCAAAGTACCGTTGATGGTTAATATTACTTCGTTGAGATTAATGTTGGTCAGTTTGTTTATATATTTTATAGGATTATGTGCTAGGTCTATCTTTGTTAATTGTTTGAAGGTAAATTTGGAAAACCAAGTGTACTCCACTGTTGTTATATTGTTATGAGTCAAGTATAGTTCCTGAACATTGGGTAAATTAACAAACGCATTTGGTTCGATCGTTGTAATGTTAATATGAGACAAATCTAAAACAGAAATTTGATCGAGATTACTAATTGCATGACTTTTGACTGTTTGTATTTGATTGCCGTGCAATTTCAATTCTTTTACGTGTAATCCAAACATGTCTTTGTCTAAAATTGTTAATTTATTATGACTCAAATCTTGAACTCTTAAATTTGGTAACTCGAAAAAAGTTTCTGGCTCTATTTTTTCTATGAGACAGTGCGATAAATTTATACTTTTAATGTTTTTACACCGAGCAAAAGTGTCTCTTTTTAAGTATTTAATAGAATTGAACGACAAATCTAAATGCTCGATATACACATCGTCAAAAACACCTTGAAGGTTGGCTATCCTGTTGTTACTTAAGTCTAACTCTTCTATGGTAGCTTGATTAAAACATTTTGGTTGCAAAACTTGTATTACAGACGAAGACATGTTCAGTTTTTTTATGTCCGAGTACAAAAAGGTGTTTTTCTTTAAAATCGTTATATAATTGAGACTTAAATCGAGCTCAGAAAATCTCATGGCATTAAAATAGTTCTCATCTATTGATTGGATCGTGGAGTCAGACAAATCTAAATAATAATAGGTACTATAATCCAAAAATTGCTTTAAGTCTAACGTATCATTTGAAAGAGTGCGAAATTGGTTTTTTCTGAGCACTAGATTGCTAGAAACCATTAATTTAACTTGTGTAATATTATTGAAAGTACTAAGATCTGCCGTATTGGCACAAATTTTTGTTAGGAAAGTTTCTACCTTAGATCCGGCCAAGCTCAAATATTGTTTGTGGTATGTTAGGTCTACTAACTTTAAGTCATTTCCGCTTAGATCGAGCACGTCGGGTGCTATAGACAACCTGTGTTCGTCGTAATGGGAGAAATTGTTGCAACTTAAATTTAAGTGGTTGAGTTGTGTTGGTAAATAGTTATTTTCGTTAGCAATTATAAAAGTTATGCGGTTATTGCTTAGATTAATGTCAGGCACAGTTATCACTTTCCCAAAATCAAGCGTTTTGATCTTATTGAAGCTTAAATCGATATTGGATATATGTGGAAAGTCTGTAAAATGAACATCCAAAAAGGAGATGTTGTTGTTATTGAGTTTGATAATTGTTAATGATTTTGGCAGACTCCTTACAAAACTTACATCAATCAAAAGGTTGAAACTTACATCTAGACTTTTTAAGTTGTCAAAATCGTCGAAAGCCGAGTTGGAGATTCTCTTAACTGCACTATGGTGGATACTAACATCGTCTATACTTGCAACTTGTGGTGGTCTGCGAAAAGTTTGGATGGTAGGTATATTGGAGTTGGATACTTCTATCGCAGATAAGGTCTGTTGGTGCTTCTTCACCTCTTCGTTGAAATATTCCCTGTAGATGTCTTCTACACTTATGTTTTTACAGGACAAAGTTTCTCTGTGTCGTGTACATTTAAACTGTGTGGTATGACGTATTTTTTGGGATATAATTGCAATAATTAATAACGTTTTCACTAAATTGACAAACATTTTTATACGACACAAGAAGTATACAAACTATTACCTATTAAGAATATATATGTGGAACAATATAGATGTGCTAAAGGTTATAATTGTGAATAGGCAAAATTATAATACAATGGACTGATTTACAAGGTGAATAAATATTGGATAAATATCACCGATATTTATCGAGCTAATTTAGTTATTTCTTCTAATACTTACAAAAATATATATCATGGAGAATTGTTTAAGAAATAAATTTAAATAATACGGTGGAACTCAAAAATATGTTTCTATAAAGTCTTTAGACTACAGGTGTTCTAGATTTAATAGACTATTGACTATGAACTTAGGATGAAGTAAAATAAAAAGAAACTAGGAAAATTCGTGATCATGTTCTAATATGATAAAACGGTTATTTTATTGATTGAAAAGCTTTAGGCTTACTCAATAACCGATGTTAATACAGTGGCTGAAATATTTTGTAAGAATGTGATATCAATCCTTTATTATTTAGCGGCTCTTAGAACTATGGTAGTTAATTACTATACAGTCCCTAGTCATTAGACTCAGCAAATTCTGCTTTTCTTTGTTTCATAATCAATTTTAATTAAAACGATGTTACCTATACAGGGTGTTTCAAAAAAAGGTAACCCCGTGTCTAGGGTAGGTAAAAAACTGAAAAATAATTGGGGTTTGCTTAGTAAAAAATGTTTGTAACGCCATCCGTTTTCAAGATACAGGGCGTTGAAGAAAAAAAATTTACGCATTTTTTACGATTTTGCCGAAACTACTGGCAACATTGTAATGCAATTTTATACGAATATGTTTTGGAAGCTGATACATCCCATGAATTTGTTTTTATATCTGATTCTCATAGAAGGCGCTAGTTACACAGATCGTACCAAGTATTAGTCAATATAACTTTTTTAAGAGTATAATTATTAATCAAAATTTCAAGTAAACTTAAACATCATTTAATTTTTCACGAAAAAGGTACTCTTGCTAAAACTCGATACTGTGTACCGTTTTCGGAATATTTGATTTGAAAATTATGAAGTAATAATTGATGCTGGTATAAAAATAGTTAGTAATTAAACAAAACTCACAAGAAGAAAATTAAATTAATGACTAAGAACATAAAATAAAATTCAATTACAGTAAGTGTTCAAAGTGCCCTCCGTTTTCGCGAATATACAAGTCTATTCTTTTTTCTAAAGATTCCATTAACCTTCTAAACCGTAGGGGATCAGCTATGATGTTATAAATTGACGTTGAATTCTTTCTTCCAATTTTTGGCGTGAGTTTACCTCTGTAGCATAGACTTTTTCCTTAATATATGACCAAACTGCGTAGTCCAAAGGATTAAAATCGCATGACCGAGGAGGCAAATGAATCGGAGCTTCTGCACCTCTACCAATCCATCGATTCGGAAAATGATTGCTCAACCAATTACGACACCTTCTATCAAAGTGTGGTGAAGCTTCATCGTGCATAAAAAATAAAGATCTTCGCTCGTTTAGCGTTAAATCTTCTAATATCTCGAATAAGGAATTGTTTAAAAAATCAAGATACATATCACCATTTAAATTTCCAGGTAGAATATGATAACCTATTAATTTGTTACCTAAAGTTGCTGCCCAAACATTAACTTTAAATGAGTGTTGGTAATGTGATACCCTTTTGACTCGTGGATTCTCATCACACCAGTAGTGTGCATTATGGGAGTTAAACATACCTTGTCGCGTAAAGGTGGCCTCGTCCGTTAAAAGAATGCATTTTAAAAAATTTGGATTATGGGCTGTCCTTTGTTGCAATGTTTCACAAAAATCCACTCTAACCGGTAGATCATCTGCAAGAGCTCTTGGACTTGTCTGTAATGGTAAGGATGTAATTGCTGTTCTTTCAGTATCCGCCAAGTACTTGAAGAAGAAGTATTTGTTTGTCTTGCTATATTCCTTACGCTAACTGTTGGATCTTGATCAAGTAAATTTAAAATATTATTTTCTTTATTAATTGTTCTTGTTGTTCTTGGTCTATCAGAATTTATTTTATTTGGTCTCACATTCCCAGTTTCTCGACAACGTCGTTCAACGGCTCTATATGTTTTTTTACTTGGTAAGTTTCTTCTAGAAAACTTTTCTGCATAACGTGTCACAGCTACACTAGAACATCCTAAACATTCGCCTAAGGTTAATAACATGTCAGTGTATTCAACATTTGAGTACATTTTGATTTGATTTTACAAATAACAAGGTTTCAAAACTCTAATTATCGTTGATATATCGTCATAACAAACAATAAATGTCAGATTTCCATGGCACACTTGGAAAAAATAGAGGTATACCAATTAGAACTTTATCATTACTACCAGCATCAATTATTACTTCAGAATTTTCAAATCAAAATATTCCGAAAACGGTACACAGTATCGAGTTTTACCAAGAGTACCTTTTTCGTGTAAAATTGAATGATGTTTAAGTTTACTTGAAATTTTGATTAATAATTATACTCATAAAAAAGTTATATTGACTAATATTTAGTACGATCCGTGTAACTAGCGCCCTCTATGAGAATCAGATATAAAAACTAATTCATGGGATGTATCAGCTTCCAAAACGTATTCGTATAAAATTGCATTACAATGTTGCCAGTAGTTTCGGCAAAATCGTAAAAAATGCGTAAATTTTTTTTCTTCAACGCCCTGTATCTTGAAAACGGATGGCGTTACAAAAATTTTTTACTAAGCAAACCCCAATTATTTTTCAGTTTTTTACCTACCCTAGAGACTGGGTTACCTTTTTTTGAAACACCCTGTATATGAAGTTATTTATCTCATGATTATGAATATATTTGAAAAAAATTACTGTTTTGTTCTGTTTTGTGAATACTAACTCTTGGGTAGTTAAAGTGTACTAAAAAAGTTCACAAAAATTTTTATTTATTAAAAAAGTATAATTTTTACAAAGTAGTGATAAATTTAATATTTTGTATGTCCGCCTTTGGCTGCTAAAAGAGCTTGAACACGTCGAGGTATGCTCTCGATACAGGCTTGTATAGTTTCCTGGAGGTGAGAATTAGGACTCCACTCATATATGAGCGTTTCAAGTAACTCACTTTTATTAGAAATGTTTTTTTTGCAATCTCCCTTTTCAATAGTTCTCATCCATTCTCAATAGCGTTCATATCAGGCGAGTTGCCTGGCCAGTCAAGAACTTTATTTTTTTTGTTTTAAATAAGTTGAAATACTCTTAGCCTTGTGGCAAGGAGCACCATCGTGTATAAATGTGGGTTCCTCGTCTCCAGGAAACCATTTCTGCAGCTGTGGCATTAATCTCGTCCCGAGTACTTTCCGACACTGGTCTTGTTTCATCGTGTTTTCCACCACCTAGAGACGGCCTGTACCTTTGACGGATACCACAGACCAGGCCATGAGTGACGGTAGGTGTTTAATGGTGGGCACAATGCAGTCGGGCTTGTATTTTTCGTTGGGACTTCTCCGAACAAACTTCGTTTTTTTCTGTTAAAACTTGAAAAACGGATTCGTCCGAGAAGCAGACCTTAAATCAACAAAATTTTTAGAAATGCTCATGTTTGTCTAGTTTTTAATATTGATATTCAAACAAAACAACACAAATATACCTTTTTCCAGTCTTCCACAGTTTTTGTATTCTTGTGCCCATTCGAAACGTTTCTTTATCATAGCCGGAGTTGGCTTTCGCGCTGGTTTCCTAGCTACCAGTTTGTTTTCGACAAGTCTCCGACGAACTGTTCTTTCTGAAACACAAATTCCTTTATCTCTTATCTCCTGGGTAAGCATTCGCAGTGGTTTCTTTCTGTTTACTAGGCAAATATCTCTTATTTGGCGATCACTCCTGGGAGTAGTCAGACGATGTCTTCCTCTGTGACCCTTCCACTGTGACGCAATTTTCTGTTTTATATTCCTTACAGAACTTCTTGATACTCCTACCATTGCTGCTATTTCATTTTGAGACATTTGTCCAGCTTTTAGGAGTCCAAATACCTGGCCTACTCGTTTTGGTGACAGATCAGCGGTTTTCCCCATCTAAAAATGTATAATACCCTTAATTATACCAATAACTTCACTGCATATATTTATAACCTAAAAAATAATAATAAAAAAGGATAAATCACTCACCTCTGCAATAAAATTTCAGGTCAAAACCGTTTAGAGTTCAAATGTTCACAGACAGTATTTGAGGTTATAAAATGCACACTAGTTGACACGACGCAATGCTGTCTAGAAATGGCGGATAGGGCGGTGTTGCCAACGTTAAAATAGTAAAATAATGTTACCATACTATACTTCATCTAATTTACTTACCGTTGCACGTCATCCGCGTCATAGTGCGTGAGGTCACATGATACCAACACGAAATATTTAGGCGGTAGGTGTATTCTTTTTAGAATCACTTTGTTGAGTACACTGGCATTACAGCCACTAGACATATTATATACGCGTAGAAATAATATTTAAAGATTTCTATTAATGTTAACTTAAAGAAATACACAATAATATGTTTCATTTAATTTGTATAAATGCATTATAAAGCGTTTTTATGAATAACATTTGTTCGGAACACACTGTAACTGTAATCGAAAGAAGGAGATATTTTGGCATCGAGTTAGAATCTATGGAAAAGCTATGGGCATATTATCGTATGTATTAAAAACGGCGTAGGTGGGCGTGGCTAACGATAATACCAATATGGCGGTGGGATCAGGGCCAGACTCAATCGTATTAAAACTACTATACAAATATGACTAGTTTATAGTAGTTATATGTTATTCAGAAGATTTAATCATAATCTAAAAAGTGCAATAATTTTAATAAACTATGATTTATTTATCCCGCGGTAAACACTAAAAACACGATATATTATACATAAAGATAAATTAATACAGTCAAATACTATTAATTTATTCTCTGAAGTACGGGCCATTACTTTGTTTACATATTTGTATACTAACCTGTGGAACGATATTCCTGAAAATTTTTTATTAACATTGCTTCTGCTACTGCAACTACGTTGAGAACAAGAAACCATTATTATGCACTATCACAATATAATATTACAGTTTCTATAAAATTGTTATAAAACTAAAAATATTCGAAAAACAACAAATGTAAACAAACATATACGATCTGTCAAAAGTGTCAAAACAATATTAACAATATGGCCGAAGTGAGGTCGTTTTTAGTCACGTGATGCCCTCTCCATAGATTCTAACTCGATGTATTTTGGCATAAATCGGAAACACTTATTTGACAGTTGCGGTGTTGACACTTTAGTTTGGTTTTTAGTATTTACTATTAATTCAACTATATTGTTTTTTAAACAAGCGGCTCAAATTGTTTTTAACAAGATTATTTTAATTCTTTACTTTATTCTTTCTATTTATTTACATTAAATATTAATTTGTTTTGTTGTATAGTCCACTTTTGCAATAATTATGTGACCTATTTGATTTAAAATGGATTCAGGATTTTTTTATACTTTGGCAACTATGTCAACTTCTATCAACTTTGTCAATGATAATGACGTGCAACGGTAAGTAAATTAGATGGACTGTATATTAAATGTTGCTATGCGAAAAAATAGTAACATTGCTGTTGATAAAAATTATTAATTTAAAAAAATGCAAATTTTTAATGCCTGGCCTAATAACTTGGCCAGGTACTGTAATTTTACTACAATACTACTATTTTGTTAACCTATCCTTGACTTTGGGAAGTGCAGCAACTCTCGTATACAGCATTTCGCGGTCACTTTGCAGTACAGACTCTTGAAGAACAGTGTTGCAAGAGATATATTTTAAGAAATTGATATTTTTCTTTTCTAAGAAGTAAACATCAACGTCCGTTGGTGTAATAACTCAACTACGTGATTCACGCGGTTCATTTTTTCTGGAACAACTTGATTATAACCTTCATGGATTAAGTTACACTTTTTCATCCTTTGTATATTATGTTTGATACATAAAAGTTATTATTATTATTCTCATTATCAAACTGATTATCCGAAATGCGTTGCATTTGCGACAGCTAGCTTGCTTTGGTACAGCTATCATTGCTTTTAGTATATTATTTGGTATATCATTAGTATAGTAACCTATCATTAACCATTGATTTTCGAAATAACAATTATTCTTGTCTATAAACGTCTTCCAAATTATTTAGTATGATTATCAATTAATGATAGCAGTTACTAGAAACTTATCTTGTTTACATTATTTTTGGTTATTTTAATTCTTTTATTAACTATTATGGTACTGAAACGGATGGTATAGCAAGCGATAGGGATCATATTGTTTGTTTACAATTTACCGTGATTTGTTTACGATCATATTACGCTGTGACTAATCATTTTATGTGAAATATTCTAATATTGTTAAAGTAGTTATCTTCAGGGCAAGTTAATTTAGTTATGTATTCTGTTTTTAGTGTTTTATATTTGTGCAGTGAGTCTCTACATTAATTATTTTCAAGAAATATTTAATAATTTTCTTTTTTTGTTATGATATAATATTGCTCTCTTTGATTTTAACGAGAAGATGGTTTTTTGAATACTTTTATACTATGATAGTTTATTTCAGTATTGTTCTGAAGCTATTTTCTATTTCAGGTGATACAATGAACGCTTTGGTGGATCTTCAAGAGAAAGCCAGAAATGTCTTGTCTCAGTCGAGAGCCAGTGCAGATCCAACTTTATTACATCTCATCGAAGAACTATGTAGGGTAGGCGAAAGAATTAAGGAAGAATCTTATAGAGAACGGTTTGATCTTCAGCAACAGGTGCGTTTGTTTATTTTTTAGATCAGTTATAGTTATTTTACAATAAGAATGAAATCATGTCATTCTAGTAACTTTTAATGTCCACCCATACAGCAAACTCTCTATGCCTAGATTCTGATAATTATAATCTAGTGACTTTTAGTGAATTATAACGTCTTTATTAATTCTAATTTATTGTTCTTATTATTTTAATTTACTAAAGGTTCAATATTGTTCTGAAGCTATTTTCTTGTGGCATTTTAAATTAATTACTATTTAACTGGGAATAAGCCACAATTAAGTTAAAATACGTTTTTACTTTAATTGTCGGCTTATTCCCAGTTAATTAGTAATTAAAGGTTCAATATTTATAACACTTACAAACTTAATTTATTTAAAGTTTATTTATAATAATTTATCTTACAATAATTAATTATTACGACCGTTACATTTAACTACCCGTTCGCGATTTTCTTTTCTCACTGCTGGCCACAATAAAAATCCTGTTATTTATATCCAATACCGCTAGACTAGAAAAGTCGATCGCCTTCTCGTCTGGTAAAATTCGGAGGGTCGCGCCGCCAGCTGCATTCTTGGTACCTGAAGTAGTTATTCGACCCTTCTGGAGAATTCGGTAGTATATGACCTAGAAAATTCGTGAATGAATAAATATGTTTACGGTTTATAATATGACTCATATTTCCCAAAACTTTAGGACCATACGTTATTTAGAAAATATTTTTGTAAAGAAAAAATAGTTTGAAAATAAACAATTAAATTTAGTTACACGTATACCTTCTGGTTGCTCCAAAAATGAAAAGATTAAAAAAAATTACCGTATTAAAAATAAAAAATTCTACAAAAAATGGTGCGTTTTCGCACCATTGGCGGTAAATGGGTTAAAAAAACCTTCTATGACCAATAGGAACAAAGTAAGAACGAAGAAAGAACAATCAATTCTTTTTTTTTTTTTGAATTTCTCTTTCGTCTTTTGCATAATTGATATAGTCTTTTATTTTGTTTCGTATTTCGTTTCAACACCGAATAATGTATCCATCAACTGGCCTATTATATACCAATATTCTTTATGAACCAGTTAAAAGTACTACTGATAAAAAATGTTTATGTTATTTTAGTTATATTGAAGTATTACGATGTGTTGAATGTTTGTTATTGCTTGTGATAGGTATTTCATGATTTTTTATTACTAATTTGTAATATGTTTTAAAATAAATTCGGGAATTTCGTTCAAGAAATTGTGTTTAACATCCATAAGTCATCGTTGCTGATTTTGTGTGTATTTATTTCATGATATGGTTTGTTTTAGTACAGAAATTAAACTGTTTATTGAATTAAATATGGATTTAAAATAGTTATTTTGCTTTTTGTATAAAATAACACTATCTGACTATAGATCAAACTGGCAACAGGTGTGTGTTCTCAAAAAACTTGATAATGTTTTCAAATGATTGTTGACACAAAACAAATTAAAAAACAGAAGGCCAACGCCTCTGTTATAAGGGTGAGAACTCTTTTAAAGTTGTAAAAATCATATTTAAAGGGTGCTTCTTATACCAATGGATGACTCGTTGAAACTAGGGAAATCAGCTGTGCCCAAAATATCTAGGGGGCGAATGGCATTTTTGGCACATTTTATTTTTAGGCTTTATGCTCTGTCTTATGTCTTTTATCTTTTTTTTCTCATTTTTTTTATCAATTTCCAGCTTCTGTGCTTCTGGTTCCTCCTGGATAAGTATTTATTCGTTGATAGTTTCTTTCCCAAGACTCGTTCTTCTACTTAGAAATTGTTCTTCGTACATCTGTTTGTTTTTCTTTATATGTATTGTTGTGATTTGCTTATAATAATTGTAAATCTACTTATATAATCTTTATGCTTTAGGCTTTATGCTCTGTCTTATGTCTTTTATCTTTTTTTTTTCTCATTTTTTTTATCAATTTCCAGCTTCTGTGCTTCTGGTTCCTCCTGGATAAGTATTTATTCGTTGACAGTTTCTTTCCCAAGACTTGTTCTTCTATTTAGAAATTGTTCTTCGTACATCTGTTTGTTTTTCTTTATATGTATTGTTGTGATTTGCTTATAATAATCGTAAATCTACTTATATAGTCTGAAATGTAATAAATTTATCTTTATCAAACAAATCAAAAGCAAAGAATATCTCAGGGCTAAAAAATAATTTTTATTTATTTATTTTTTTTTAATAAAAACGTGGCTTCAAAGTATCTTTTGCTAGTTCCATTTAAGAAAGATCAACAAAAGGAAAAAGAAATAATAGACAATCAATTCTGATATTAAAACAATTGTCCTTTATTTTAAAATTTATCCAATTAATTTAAAATTCCGTTGAGGATAAATCTTACACCATACACTATAAATAGAATAAAGTAAAAAAAATCAATCATCCATCAAATCACACATCCCTTAATGCTCAATAAAAATTAAATACACATATTTCTAAATCAAATATCTCTTAATATAAAAATTTTAGAAAGAATTATTGGTTCCTTGACTTCTTGCCTTAACTATAAAAATATTGCAAATTCCAAACAATTGACATGAATGTTGATAGATGGTCGTGATAGAATGTCTTTATAGAATTTATTTAAAAACCCAAAACTTTGGTTTTCAAACAGACTATCTTCCCTTGATTCTGCTTGGATTGTGCCCTGACCGGATCGCAATGTACTTCCCGGATCCTACCAATTTCCCTGCACGCTATTCCGCATACTGTTTCTTTTGACAATAAAAGAAAAAGACAAACAGCATGTGAAAATGTCGTGATGTCTTTACCACAAGCTCCAAACTCCAAGACAAACAAACTGCTTCCTCTGAGACACAACGAAAATATATCTGTCTGTACTTACAGTAATGCCTGTATTTCTACTGGAACTCTTCTCTGCTTACCACAATGGATGCTTAATTTTCCACACAAACACTAAGCACTACTTCTTATAAATTCTCAAAACAAAATGTTTTCACCGGAACCGGTCTCTCTCGATGTTCGACTCACAATGTCTTTCTTTTCCCTCATTTCATTCCCGGCAAGCTTTTCACCCCCTTCTTCTTTATCCATCTCAAACCAATCCAAACAAACCTCCCCTCTCATCAAACGCATCATCGGTTTCTTAGTCCATTAAATTTTTTTTTTTCAAAAATTACCTGACGTTAAAGTACTTTCCGGCAAACGACCTTGAATTCTTTTTTAACTTTTGTAAAGGAGAAAACCCATTAACCAATAATCCTTACTTATTACTTTCTAATCTATTATAACCGCAAATTTAAAATAGTTGTGTACTAAATCTACCTGGTCATGTCTAAACCGTATTGTCTTTTTATCGGAGAAAACTTTCTAGATCACTTATTTACATATTCGGAAACCACTCACGTTGTTCCCGGTAAATGGTTTATGGTTTTACAACTAAACTATTTCTATATACAGGGTGTTCTCGATTTTTTTAATGGTCTTTTGATTTTAATTTTATTTAAAATTTGGGGATCTTATTAGTATTTTACTTTGTATTAATTTGGAACTTAACTATTGTTGGTACAATTGTCTTTTACATTTTATTGCCTTTCTCTACATTTTCTGTAAGAGTTTTACAAAGATTTGTTTGGTCTTCGTTATAATTAGACAGAACAACTTAATTATACTCCTAAATGCTTTTTCAGTCTTATTGTTTTCCTTTATTTTCGTTACAGATCGAAGCGGCCGATAAGAAATATCGCACGACTAACAAATTCCTCGAAGAACAAGCCATGGAGCGAGAACAGGAACGTGACGAAGCCCAAAAGAAAATCGACGCTCTTCTTATTCAGTTGAAAGAAAGAGATAAAAACAAGGTTAATTCCGAGATAGTTGCATCCGAGGTAAGTTTCCTTCACTTAGTTGATTCGTAGATGCTTTGTCCGTTTGATGCTTTTGTATTGAATATTGGATTAGATTAAATTGTGTTGTTTGGGCATTAACGATTGCGTCACACGCTTTTTACACTGATGATGCTCCACCTAGACTGATTCTATTCTACAGTTCAGTAAGCTTCTCGAATGAATAAATCTCTTACCTATACTGTGTACAGTGCTGCTTCATTGTGCACGACGTCTATCTTATTCATTTATGTACGTTCCACACGAACTTTTAATTTCTTGAAATAGAAAGAAATAGTGTTCTTGACAAAATTTCCTTTATTGTTTAACACATTTCTGTTCAATCTTCCATTCAAGTTTTTTTTACCTCCCAGAACGACTATGTTACACATTGCTCATCATAATTTCGAAACGCTGTTACCATATATCAGTGTTTATTAAATCCATAAAAATACATATCAAATTTTGCGGATTACTGGACAACTCACGGCTGTTGATTGCATTATTTCTAATTGTCGATGTACAAGCTAACTGACTAATCATCTAAAGTCTTTAACATTGTGTGATCTGCTGTAACTGTCTTAAGCGCCCTCTAGATCGTCAATATTATTATCACTGTAGGGCACCGATATATTGATCTCGATACTGTACTGTAGTTTGATCTTCACACACTAATATAGAAAGTTTAGTTGTTGTGCAGTACGAGGTGTGTCTATTAAATAACAGAACCGAATGCGTCAAAAGCCAGTGAATGATAACTATTTAGCGTGAAACATGTTTCCAATACTGTAGGTTTTGCTTATGTACTTAAATCCACACGTTCCTTTCATTAGATATTTTTTTGTTTCGTCGTCGAAAAGTATGAGAGTAGATTATTGAATTTTGTTAAATTCTATAGGAAACTTTAGAAAAACTGCTAATAAAACTTATAGTTTATTGAAACAGGCATATGGCTTCTTTTTTTCTTCTTCTTTAGCCTTAAGTAATCCAACTTTGGACATAGACCTCCCCCAAATGAATTGAGGGTTTTTTCTATTTTGCGCCACTTGCTTCCAGTTCTGCCCTCCGATCTTCTTAATGTTATCAGCCAATCTCATTTGCGATCTTCCTATACTTCTCTTTCCTAACCATGGGCACGATTGTTGTATTTTGTGGTTCCATCTTTTATCCTTCAGTCGGACATTCTGTCCTGCGAAACTCCTTAATTTGTGTCCTTAATTTGGCAGCATGTTCTTCTGCGTCTTTTACTTTGGTTTTGCTTCTAATCCATTTGTTTGTTTTTTTTGTCTATATGTCTCACCCCGAGCATTGATCATTCCATCGCTCTTTGTGCCTTTACTATTTTATTCATATTAGATTTGGTGAATGTCCACGTCTGTGAACCATACATGAGTATAGGGAGGATACACTGATCGTAAATTCTGGTTTTTAAATATTGTTCTATTTTAGTGCTTTTCAAGATACAACTGTTTTCCAAATCCCGTCCACGCTAACCTTATTCTTCTGGTAATTTCCGCAGTTAGATCTTTTTTGTTAACTTTCATTATCTGTCCCAGGTAGATGTATTCGCTTACTGTTTCTAAATTTATGTCGTTCAACGTTAATTCTCTAATGTTCGATGTATTTGTCATTATTTTTGTTTTTTCCAAGTTCATCTTAAGACCTACTCTTTCCGCAGCTTGAAATAGTTGCGTCATCATGGCCTGTAGTTCTTCGAAACTTGTAGCGAATATTAAAATGTCATGAGCGTATCTAGAATGACTCAGTTTTCTTCCATTAACATTTATTCCTTTATCTGCCCAGTTAATGTCTTTGAAGACGTCTTCCAGTCCAAGTGGGAATAGCTTTGGTGAGATAACATCGCCCTGGCGAACTCCTCTGTTGATTGGTATAGCTTTCATTTTCGCATCTATTTGTATTTTCATTGTAGCTTTCTTGTAAATAATATGTATGAGCATTCTCTATCGGGAGTCTATCCTGCAGTTGTTCATAGCTCTCTCTATTGCCCGTTTTGGCGAATGACTTTTCATAATCAACGAAGTCAATGTATAAGCTCAAGTGATATTCATTGGCTTTCTCTAGTAGCATTCTGACTGTAAGAAGATGATTCTTTTTCTTCTTCATGTACCATGTCCTTTCAGAACGTTGGTTACCATCATAGCTATTTTAATTTTATTCACTGCCACCCTAAATAGCATGCTTGTATCAACACCATACCAATCTCGCAAGTTCTTCAACCATGATTGCAACCTGCTATTTTTACTGTAACCTCTTCGGTTACAGATAGACAGTTAAGATAATCCGCTTTACTGTAACCTTTTCGGAATCCTGCGTGCTCTACGTGCACGTGTTTTTGACTGGCTTAAGCGTTTTTAAGATTACCAAGATGTTGAACATCTTCCACTTCCGTTTCATCAGTTCCAAAAACTGATGAAAATATTAGTCATCTGGTTCGATGTGACAACAAAAGTGTGTAAACTCTGCAGTGTCTGTCAAGAGGTTCCTAACCAATTACAACATTCCAGTGGTTGACTATTCGCTGGATATTGTGATATTGTGCTGGATACTTCCAGCACTGACAATGGAAAGTTCTTTTTGGAGCATTTTAGGGATAGAGGAAGTGGCAGCAGCAATAATATATCTTAAAGATGCAAAAACTTGTTGGTCCAGATGTAGTTCAGTCATGGATCATCACTCATCAATGAGAAATTCAGCAATGAATTAACTATCATTTTCGATGAGATATATAACGCTGAAAAATTACCCGAAGAATTGTTGAGCTTGAACTTCCAAAAAAGCAATGGATCGGAAAGTGGTGCCTTTTTTCTTTACACTTCTGCTCGAAGTTTTTTCTTTGTTAATTCAATAATTAAATCTTTTGCCGTTGCTTTCAATTGTCTCCTTACATCATCAAACTCATTAAAAGTCCGCTCCAGATCATCTGCTTCTTTTAATTTAATTCATAATAGTTTTTTTCTCACAATCCTTTGTATAGGTCCATATCTTTTTTACAAAGACTGCCACAACACTAAGTTGTTGATTTATCTCGAATAAACTCTAATTACCTCATCTATTCATTGTAAGATTATTGAACTACAGCACTATCTTTCTGTTTCACTGCTAATGTTTGTGCCTCATCTGTATAATTACTCTGATTCTATATTTCCATGCGAAGTAATTGGTGTAATTTCAAAAGCTCAATTTAGTACATGATCCTACTGCAGGATTATTATCATTACGCTCATAACGTAGTTAAACACACAGTTTCACATGCATTTAAAATTATTAGAATACATTGATAATATATTGCTAGTCAAAAAGTGGCTTTAAATATTTTTAATTCAATTAATAGTAATTCATTTTTGACAAAAAGTTTATTTCGTTCATTTATGTTTTAAATAAAATAGGCTGCTCATGACCTATATGCATGTTTTTTTATATCAAATTAAAGCTAATTTTTTTCTCAATATGATATAAGGTTGCCTGAGAAAAAATGGTCGCAAATTAGGGATGTTAGCTTTTAATAACGCGAGATATCAAAGATAAACTAAAATAGAGATATAAAAAACAAGTATATACGTCATGAGCAACGTATTTTATTTAAAAAATAGATCTTCTTCCTCTTTATCAGCAATTCACCTTATTCATTGGCGGATTAATACCTCTATGGAAGGTTGTCACTCCATCTTTTGCGCGGTAGTCCGATAATTCTTTTGCCGATTGGTGACTTAAATCTTGCTATTTTGATGACACGGGTGTCCTCCATTCATTTATAAACTGTACGTTACATTTTCTTCAAATGTCTTCGCTTCTTTTTCGATCTCTCAGTGTATTTCCTGTAGTTTTTCTCAGTACTCTCATTTCGTCCGTTTCCAGTAGTCTTTGCGCTGTGGCTGTGTCGGATTTTGTTTCTGAGGCAAATGTCATTATTATTATTATAGGCAATATGTTTATAAACAAACTAAACATATTCTAAGACAAATGCATACTAATGACTTCTCAGTAAAGTGTACTTATTAGAAATGCCCATAACTTGAAATTAGCTCTAATTGCTTTTTAGCTATTGTCCCATAAGTAAATAGTATTTTCTCTGAAATAGCCTTAATAAAATCTTATAAAGTCGACTGCATTCCAATGTAAAATTTAGTTTGAACGTGAGTTTCATTGCAAGAGTTTGTTTTTGACAACTGAAAACCATAGCTTGTACAAGCAGGTGTTGTGTGAATAACCCGGACGTTTTTTGCTACATATGTGGCGAGTACATTGTAAAGCAAAGTAAGAAACCAGTTTGTGATTTTATAAAAAGGTCATATCAAGCCTATTTTGGTATTTATTTAGGAGATCAATCTGGCCACCACATTTAGTGCCTTAAACTTGTCTTGAAAATCTGCGACAGTGGACAAAAGGACAACGAAAATGTTTAAATTTTGGTGTTCCAATGGTATGGTGGTAACCAAAAAATCATTTAGAAAATTGCTATATATGTTTTGTAAATACAAAGGACATTAATAGTAACAATCGACATAAGTGCACATATCGTAACCTGGATTTAGCAATAAGACCAATTCCACATCAGCTTGAGCAGATACCCATTCCAATATTTAGCAGTCTACCTACGTTACCAGAGGATAATGCCGAAACGTTATCTAACGAACTACAGACTAGGAAGATGACAGTGATTTTGAAGGGGATTCAACACGTCCTGAGCGTTTTACTCAGGTAGAGCTAAGCAATCTTACCAGATATTCGAACCTTCCAAAGGATTCTTCCTAGTTGCTTGCCTCCAGACTAAAGAGAAAGAATCTTCTTCACCCAGACACCAAAATTTTTTTCTTTGCAAGATGATATGGGTTTTGGTAACAATATTAAAGGACTGTTAGAAAAAACGGGTGTATCGGAGTATACATACAAATATGTATGAAATCAAAATAAATTATTTTATCGAGTCGGTCTCCTTAATAATAGCCACACCTCGTACATTGACCGTCTAGCGTTTTATTGAT